GTCTGCAAACTTACTGAGGGTGCACTCGGATGGGTAAAGAAGAGGTGATGCTACAGTTTCATGAAACCAAACCATTTACTAAAACATCCAAAGCACTAATTTGCATTAATTATCCAATCAATTTGGGTGATGTTAACTGTGTGGTCTTTGGTTTGCTTGAGAGGGAGGTAGGTAGGCTGTGTGATCCCCCAAGTCAGATGCCAGGACTCACAGTTATTAGCAGCACGTAGCTAACAGTTGAAGAGATGTAGAAAATGCAAAAGTCTGGTCACTCAGTTATTTGCTGTAATTTCCAGAAAGGGGGAGAACATTATGAAAGATGCATGTTTTAATAGAAGTATTTGTACTAATTGTATTTGTACTTTCAAAGAGATAAGAACGTATTCTGTTTAATCTATTAAATTCTGGACCTTCCCCTAAAGGTAATTGGGGTAATTATGAAGCACTCTCTGTGCCCTCAAAGAAGGAGAAACAACTATTTAGAACGACTCAAGCAAATTGCCTGGTACTTTTTTCATTGGTCAAACACACTAGCAGTTTTACAATTCTTCTGTGCTAATACTTGTCTGTCAGGAAGAAAGCAGTATTTATGTTGCATTTAAATGCATTATTTGTACTTACTAAGCATTATGATTGATCTATTTTCTTTTTTTTCTTGTTGATGTATTAATTGCCTATAAATTTAGACATTGTTTCTGGAGTTGGAAAGCCCCTACCTTAAGAAAGAATAAAAAAAGAAGAAAAAAAAAAAAGATAGAAAGAAAAGAGAAAAGTAACAAAAGAAAATAAAAAAGTAACAAGAGGGGAAGCTTTTCATTCAGAAAAGTATAACATGGGTCTATTGAAGAGGAATTGAATAAGCTTCTTGGTATCAAACACAATCGTTTTCAAAATGACCAGGCTTATGATTCTTCATATTTAATATCAAGTAACCAATATTATCAGGCAAACATATTTTAGCATTACAGCTAGTTTATTTCCTCTGGTACACTATATTAATTAATGCTGTTACTTAATATGAGTAGGTACTACTTTGACCTGATACACTATATCTAGAAAGTAATTTCAACTACTGTTAAGACTAATGATCATATGGCACACTAAATAGTGAGAAAAGTGCTATTTCAGGTGGATTAACTCCTTATTTCTTGTCTCGTGATACAAATGACTCAGTGGCCATTAACAGGTCTCATAGCATTTCTGTGCTCCTGCTTTCTATGTCTGCATAATTAGGCCAGAATACCTTCCTATGGTTTGGGAATACTGTAAAAAATTAAGCATTTTAATGCTTCTACAGTGTTTTGACATTGTACAGCATTAAAGTTAAAATATATTATCATTCTAACTACTGTTATACAATTATCACCATTTTGATGAAAAGTGTCTTTGATACAAGCATTGAAGAAAGCTAGGAGATATGTTGATATTAGTTGATTCATTTTTACAGTCAGAGTGCAGGTATTCACATTGTTCCTAGTGGCCTTGGTCACCAGGCTCTGTGCTTACGGCCTCACTGTGGTTTGTCGCAGGGGCAGTGGCTGGGGCTGGGGCTTCTCTTTGAACATCGTGCTTCCAGGATTTTTTTCTAATTTTCACCTGGGGAGCAGATGTCCTTAAAATCAGTGTTTTAACATGTATCTGTATGCACAGCATAATTCAATTAGCAAGCATCTGCCCACAGTCTATAGTTGCTTAATTGTTAATTTTTACTGGCAAGCATTTCATAGCTTGTTTTATTTCCTCATCGTGTGATTTAGGCTACCACGGCCTTTACTGTGAAGAGGAATATAATGAATGCCTTTCTGCACCCTGCCAAAACGGAGCCACCTGCAGAGACCTCGTCAACAGCTATGACTGTGTGTGCCTTGCTGAATATGAAGGTAAGATGTGGTTTGCTTCTTGTTCTTTGGATTGTTCTATGTATTTTTTTATGGTAGATTTTTGTTACAAAAAAGAGATATAAAATATCCTCCACTGAGCAGAAATATTTATTGATTATACATCTTTACAGTTTGCAGGACAGTAATGGTTTAGAAACATGAACCACCTTAAAAAGTTAAAAATGTGTTTGTAATTCGTGTTATCTCATGGAAGCATTCAGAATCCTGTCCTACTCTTCAGTTTGTTGAAATTTTTGTAAAAAACATAAGAAAGAGAAAACTTGAAGATAACTTACAATTTTAGCTAAGTGGTCACTTTGGATTCATTGCCAAGCAAAGAATGGTAATAAGACTTAGATTTAGATCTAAAACTTACATTAATGGATAAAGTTAAGCAGATATTTTAAATGCAACCTAATTTCTCTGTAGTAGATACATTATAAATGAGGTCCCGCCAATCTTTCATTATTTACATATGTACTTTTTTTTGTGTGTGTTTCAGTGCAGTCCATGCACTGATGAGATCAGTCATGTATTGATTTTTCTAGTTCTATCTGAAAAGTAGATCCAAAGAAAATGATGCATGTAGCAGTGGCAGTAGAGCCTTTCTTCTCATCCCCAGGTGGGAATCATGCTGTGCTTTACGTTCTGTATGCTAGATATGGCTTGCATTGTCTTCTGCAAGGCAAAGCAGCTGAATTCACATAGACCACACCTGTGAATGAAAGAGTGAAGGAGGTGGCATGAAGTTGAGCAACCTAATTATTTACTTTTAGCTATACATTTGAAGAAATTAATTTCTCTTTTTATTGCCTTAATTATACTCCTCAGTTTCCTGCAAAAGTCAATGAGAGGCATCAGAATGCTTATGTATATTATTAAAGAAGTTATTATGTAAAATTCTTCCCGAAGGCAATTATTGTTTACGTTTTATTGAAGAACGTTAGATAGCTGATCAGATTATGCTTTATTATACCACTGGTTTTTCATAGACACTCCAGCAGTTCTTGTTAGCAGAAATTGCCCTACCTCTCTTGTCCCAAAGCCTCAGTGGGTGGGAAGAGCAGAGAGGAGGCATGTGTGTAAAAAGTTTAGTCACCATAAAGTATATGGCTTTAGTCTTACAGCATTAGCCTAACAGGACAGGTTTGGAGGCTGCACATCATTGTGCTCATCCAAGTTAAGTTATCACACGTACTGATTTCATGCTGCCAGTGTAGGTGATGTTAATGGCAATTACTAATTTTACCTTTTCAGGAAGGCACTGTGAATTGTACAAAGATCCTTGTGTTAACATCAACTGTCAGAATGGTGGCACTTGTGACAGTGAAGGTCTAAATGCTACATGTATTTGTGCACCTGGATATACAGGCAAGTAATTTGTACATTACACAGAACATCTAGTTGACAGTGTTCACTGTGTCCAAAAGAAGCCAAATACCAAGTAAGACTGTGTCCCTTCAAGGAAACAAATTAATTTGGACTTTGCTGAATTGTAGTCTGTCTAGTGAGAATGAAAAGTTCTTTGTATTATTTGCAACTGCTTTGAACTTTAAAAAATTTGCAGCAAAAAAAGCCCGTTACTATAGAGAATTCACTAAACTAGCAGCTATTTAACATGCCTTATGACCTTACTGCTTGAGACTAGATTGCATTTTAAAAGTAACATTTTGAAGACTTGCAGGTAGCCAACATAGTAATTGGACACTGTTGAAACTGGAAAATGTTTTAACATTGACCTTAGTTACTGCGAGCTGAAGAAACAACTTGTTTGGTTACCATAATATGGTATTGCTAAAAGCCCTAAAGTGCTTGTTATGAATCAATTTACACTTTCAGAGTGATGCTAAGCAGCCCATTTAATCCTTTGGCCTTGTATTTAAACTGACATGATTGGTGCAATCCAAATAACTGCTGTCAAGACAATTTACAACCTGATGCTCTGTTAGTCATGCAAGGTAATATCCAATGTGACAGTAAAAGATAAACCCATTCATTGCTGTTTTGTAGATCAAATCATGCTTTTTGATCTGTGCTAATTAAAGGGCATTTGTTTAAAAAGAATTAGCTTCCCATTGTACAGTTGCTGTTTCTCAAAGGCACTGATTGTTGTCACGACAATTATCTATGTTATTGTATAGCACTTCAGAATTTACATGATGAATTGTTACACCACATTTTCTTGGAATATAACTTACATTTAAAGAAATGAGACACACGTAATCTTGGTGAGGTTAGTCAAGTCGCTTAGCCCTCAGACTTTGTTTTCACCTGGTTGAATGAGGATAATATTTCCTTCTTGGAGGCTATGTGAAACTTAGTTCTTGAAACAGTTATACAATGCTTTTGATGTTCTGAGAATAAAGAGCTATTAGGCTATAAGGTGTTTTGCAGCTAGAGAAAAGTTAAATGACTGATTAAATGACTGACCTGAGGCACCCGCTATACAGAAGTTTGTTTTGTTTTGGTTTGGGTTTTTTTGTTTGTTTTTTTTTTCTGGTATAAGGTGAAGAATGTGAAATTGATGTAAACGACTGTGACAGCAACCCATGTCACCATGCTGGAACTTGCATAGATCAGCCTGGTGGTTACATCTGCCATTGCCCACATGGATGGGTCGGTGCAAACTGTGAAATACGTAAGTTTTGTAGTTTTCTAAAAATTTCTACAAATGATACATTATATTAAAGACATTTATATTTGTCTCTAAATAGCTATCTGCACAGATACTCTGAATCATCTGTAAATTATCAAAATTCTGTTAAATGCATTTTATTTTAGACCATAATGTTTCAAAAGTGGCTATGAAAGTTAGAAAATTATGTTTCTGGACACCCTACTTTGAAATGTGTTGGACTGAACTGTCAGAGATGCTGTCTCACAGCTGGGCACTAAGCCTTTTAATTGCACTTATGCTTCAGAGCTTACTTTCATACTTACCTTGAGTTAAGTGTACTTCCATAGCGCTATAAGCATGGTCCTAACAGACTTGTTTTGACTTATGACCACTTGCAGTTCTAGTGATGTTTCAGCAACACAATTTTGAACTTGCTTACCTAAGGAAACAAATCCTGTGTAATTGTGCTGTGATGTGTGTGCATGCATTTACCAAGTTCTTCAGAAATAACTTTTCCAACTATAGGCTGATTTCCACCAAATTTGGTAGAAAGGTAAAAGTCTCCAAAACAAAATATTTCCTAAGCATTTAGTAAGACTTAGAGATGTTCCACTCGGGGGTCTAGTGAAGGAAGAGCTTCAGTGTGATCTCGCTTCTTAGTATAGAGAAAAGCTCCAGTGTAAGTGAGCTTTATGGAGCAGTAGAGTCCACGAGAGGAGAAAAGTATGAAGCCCAGCTGTGGAAGAGTTAAAATGGAAATTAGGCTTCATTAGTTCTACGACTCACGAAGCTACTTCGTGTTTCCCTGATGTCTTGTCTTGGGCACAGATGTCTTTACTAGGGACTTGTGTATTTAACTGCTTGAATGCTCAGGTACTGTGGTCATAGATCCCTTCAAGTCACTATACAGATACACAAGTTTGTGTGAGGGGATTTACACCACTTAGTACAGCTAATGTTGCAGGGATAAAAATAAACAGAAGAAGAGACTCAGCACCTTTTGTACATTCATGAGAAAATACCTACACAAAGACTGGAATGAAAAGCGTTTTCTACATCTCATTTACAGAAGGCGCATATGAAGCTTCTCTTTTTCAGTCTGTTTTACTTAAAGTTTACTTAAACATATTGACTGCTTTTTAAGTTGATTTCTATTCTTTACATTAGTCCTTACTTTAACCCAGGTGACAACTCTCTTCACACCTGGACCGACACAAAAATTTTATCTTGACAAGTTTATGACCTTCTCTCCCTGTGATTGTTGGTTGTGAATTCAGTTTCAGTGCTTTCTGCTGAAAGCAAAGACTGCAGAAGAACATTGCTAGCTATTCCAGAGATAAGGACAGCACTGCCTTTTGTTGTCTCTGTGAATGGCACACACACTTCCCTGTGTGGTACAGAACCACTGGGATGTTGGGAACACAATGTTGCCTGCTATCTGTATGCCATATTGCTCATGCTAAAAGATGCTCAGGTGGGCTTTTACTGACAAGGCTGTTAGTGATACCTGAAACATGCGTGTCCAAGTTGATAGGCAAGGTAGTGTAATTCTGTCTGCCTTAGCTAATAAGTAATGGGCTGACAGACAGATAAGTTTAGTTCTTGGAGAAAGCAATAATCATCCTGGACACGTACTTCCTGGAGTACCTCAATGTAGCAACAATTACATTTGTGTTATGTTATGGAATGAATAGGTGCCAAAGGGAAACAGATGGGCTTGCATGCTTTCTGAGCCCTGCAGATGTGCTATATGAAATCAGTGATGCTTGTTCTGGAGTCCTTCTTTGGCTGTCATGCTCTAGTCACTAAGAGTTTGGCTGTTTGAACCACAGATACATAGTAAGGTGCATATAAACACAAGGGAAGATAAGAGTAGCAGAACAGAGGGTGGGAGGAGCCTTTCCTACTGTCCGGCTACTCAATTATTTCTGCTTCCCCTTATGAGGGCTGCATGCCCCTAAGCACTATATATGACAGGTAGGTTCAAGCTTACATCTGTGGTTGGTCAATATTAACTCATTTCTGACCTAATTTGTAAGTGTACAAGAGAGGGAGTTGATAAAACTCTGCTTAAACTTTGCTCTCTTGAGCAAGGGGATTGTCTCTGCTTAGTGCGTATTTCTCTACATGTAGCATCTGTTTATAATTGAACTGCAGTGGCCTTGCCTGCTGCTCAAGAACTTGGATTTTCTGCTTGTATTACACACTTGCAAACTGTGTAAGTTAAAATGATGGGAAGAAGCAACAGCACTTTGTCATTGCTGTTTTAAGCCTTTTACTGACTGATTTGTTCTTTTATCTTGTGACTGCTATGACAGGAGGCAGGGAATTATCTGAGTGTTAACTGGCATTGATAACACTGCAAGGCTGATTCTCAGCCAGAAATATTAGACCTTTTCTTTCCATGTCAATATTTGGAGAATAAATCATACAGTATTGTTCATGGCAATTGTTCTCAATTGAAGAGGTTGAAATTACTGTGTTTTTTATCCAAGAAATCAGGATATATAATAGAGTGTATTAGTAGATAGTATTAATAATAATAATATAGGAAATTTTAAAAAATTTAGAAAATTCTGGTTTGAATTGGTCTTAAAGGAATTTAAATGGGAAAAATAAATCTTTGCATAGTCACAGAAAGACACATTCTGAATAACAATTAAGTTTAAAATTTGAGGGTTACCAATAGTTTCTTCAATAAGCTTAACATCAGCAAATGTGTGATGTTCTCTTACTATTAAAGGGACACAGCATCAAAGTAAAATGATGTGTTGTTATGGGACACCATGATACTTCACAACAGTCAGATATAAGTACGGACATGCAGCCTCTCTAACCAATGCAGTTGCTTATACACAAAGCTGTGGAAACCTTCCTAAAGTGCTTGAATTTTAACAGGCATATAAAGGATTATGGAAATAGAGAGGGATTGAGTTTTGAAGAAACCACTTTGCAGGAAGGATTTAAAAGCATTTTGATCTGCAGATTTTTTTCTACAGAGCTATGTATCCATGGGAAGATCTTTGCACTCACTGTCTTTCCCTGAGCTACAAGTTGACCAACTGATGTGAACTCAAGGCTAATCATATCTAGAAAGGCCATATCCAGACCTTTTATAACTAGGTGCAGCACTTCTGATCTCACTAGAGATGAGTCCATGGTGCAGGGGATTTCTGTTCAGCTTTAAAGATTGAATCTATTAGTAAATCTGCTTTCCATATCTCCTTGTCGTATTTATTGTATTGTTTCAGCAATTTGTACATAACGGTTAATAACGTATTGGAAAATAAATTTAAACACTGTGTACTGACTTCCTTTGTATTGGACTATTCCTCTGAATGCTAGAAGAAGACAAGATGAAGCCAGGCTTCAGGCTTCTCAAGAGGGGGACAAGATGGTGTTCAGGAGTCATTTGACTTAAATAGATCACATTTTATCTTTTGTAATTTTCTGTTACTAGCCATGAAGGAGGCTGTTGGTATTTAGGCTTTTTTGGAGAACAGCTCTCTATTTACTATTAACATTTCCGCATTTTTTCACCAGCTGTTTTATCTGCTTGAAGTGACTACTCTAACAGGATTTCAGGGTTATCTACTTGTCAAACTGTACTCCTTAATTTTCAAGTGCTGTATATACAACAAACTAGACAAGATGTATGTTGCCTGGCTGAACTGTGGTATTTATGATATCATCTTATGGTCCTTACCAGTGTTAGCAATTACAATTAAAAAGGATTAAATCCATCTTAATTATAAAGAGGATATTTTTCCTTTCAAAACGAAATGTATTTGCTTAAAAAGTTAATGGAGCATTCACTGTAAAAATGCTTACAAAATGTCTCGTTTGAATTCTCTAATGCCTGCTGATTATTTGTTAATATCATTATCTTTGCCACATTTGTAATTATTAATGTAGTTACCAAGGTAAGCCAAACTATGTGGTTACTTGAAAACTAACATTATGAAGAATTTCTAGTACAGACTATGTGGTTGAAAACTAATTCTTAATTAATTTTATGAACTTTCCTATGACAACTGAGAATACTGTGATTTTGAGCTGTCATGTGTTCTTTCTAATCTTTGGAGTCTAAGCTGTTAATATTCATATTTTTATCTGGTGGGAAAGAAAGGAAGAAATTTCTCTCATCCTTATCATCCAGAGATGGAAGATATGGAATCTAAATCAGAACTGTCTTGCCATATATCTGCGTACATTAGATCTGAATTTAGCCTAGTCTGACAACCTGACAGGAACCACCGTGTGTGACGAATGTGGTGCAGAACAGAAATAGAAACCCCTCCCAAACTGCACAGGGCACAGCTGTATTCTCTCCCTCATACCCCGACTGGGCAAATTGCAGTAACGGTACTTTAGAAACATTAAATCACTGAATGGTTCGGGCTGATCAAAACTTTACTGATCTCTGAAGAAGATAACACAAACAAGTGGTCAGTCCTGTAAACTCAGCTCATATTTGTGGACAAAAAGTCTAAGCAAGCCCAGGCTCAGAGGTGCTCTGGGACAACCTTTACCTTTGCAAATAAAGAGCAACTATTTCTTCAAATTCTGCCCAGGTGAATTCCACATGTTGCAGCTTCAGGATTTCTCCCTACCTTCCTCTAAAATGGATTTTTTTTTTTCCTATATTTATACATTCCCCTGTATTTCTACGATACATGGAGATTACATCCACAGATGCCACTAAACTTGTGATTTCAACTCAGGTGCTCGAATCAGTTATCTGCCATCATCAACATCCTCCAGAGGTGGCTTCTAAGAATATCTTAACATTCCCAAAGCATATGCTTGATAGCCCTGTTCCCAGACTGTGATTAAATAAAGGGAGTTTCTAAACTAGTGTAAAGCAGAAGTCCATTTGAAAAAGGCACAGTCACCTGCTAGAAATAACTTTTGCAGAGTGTCAGATTTCTGTAGTCAGAATGATTCAAGTCTGTTCCTGATTTGAAATAATTTATGAGACCATAGGCTTAAAAGGCTGCCAAAAATGAACCGTAGAGGGGAGTACAGGTTAATTAGAAATACTCTGATCCATGCTAGAGAAAAATAGATCTGAGGACATAAGCAATGGATAGACAATCTATTTGGCATTGATAGACAATAGTTGGGCATCAAGAATATTTATAAAGTCTGGAATACATAAATACAAGAAGCCTCTTCCAGATTGGCTTTACTTTAAGGTCTGCTTTGAGACCTCTCAGGGAAATTATGCTTGAGAGAAGACTCTAGTGGGCTCAGTACTGTAGCATTTTATGAGATGCCCTTTTTGTCCTTGAAACGCTGGGTTTGAAGTCTCTGCAGTCTGGTGAAGATAGGCATAACAAAAGCCTGTGTTTCAGATTAAAAACCAAGCATGTTTAATACATATTAAATCACACATTTTAGTGGAAGGGTTCACTAACTATTAGAACAAACTGCACAGAGGATTTGGTGGATTACTAAAAGCTTTTACATAAGACCTGCCTGCCTTTAGAGAACCTATAGTATATTATAACATACGCAAGAATAACTCGATTACTTTCTATGACTTGAGTTATACAGGAGATCAAACTAGGTAAGTGTTCCTATATGACCCTAAAAATCTACAGAAAAGGTGGATGAAGGATCAAGATAGCGTTAGTCAAATTTGTTGCATGTTAGGCATGGTGACATATCCACAACAGAGCCTGGGAAGGTTCAAATTCCATATCCCCCTAGCTTCAAAACTCTCCACAGAAATAATGAGAGTGAATACCACAAAAGAATTCTATTCATAGGAAGGATATAAATTACTAATTAATGTTAACCTTTTATTTTTTATTGACAGATCTGCAGTGGAAGTCTGGGCATATGGCAGAGAGTCTAACAAATATGCCTCGTCACTCCCTCTACATCATAATTGGGGCACTCTGTGTAGCATTTGTCCTGATGCTGATCATTCTGATTGTGGGAATATGTCGCATCAGCCGCATTGAATATCAAGGCTCTTCCAGGCCAGCCTATGAAGAATTTTACAACTGTAGAAGCATTGACAGTGAATTCAGTAGTGCAATTGCTTCTATCCGACATGCCAGGTTTGTTCTGGGGATGGTAATTTAAAATAAATCTGTTATGATATCGCTCTTGGCAAAGAATGGGCTGCTTCACTGGGAAACGACAGGATCACCAGCGTTGCTTGTTGGTCTTTTTTGATCCCTATTCTGTTCTCGTCTGAAGTGTGATAATCCAGCACAAGTCATTGAAAACAGAAGGAGTTACTCTGAATTTATGTGATGTAACTGGGGAAGAGGGACAGATGCAGAGTTCTTCGCCTGTAAGATCTTCTGGCAAAGAATGGGCTGCTTCACTGGGAAACGACAGGATCACCAGCGTTGCTTGTTGGTCTTTTTTGATCCCTATTCTGTTCTCGTCTGAAGTGTGATAATCCAGCACAAGTCATTGAAAACAGAAGGAGTTACTCTGAATTTATGTGATGTAACTGGGGAAGAGGGACAGATGCAGAGTTCTTCGCCTGTAAGATCTTCTGTTTGGGGTTTCAATACTCTTTAACTGAAACACACAACTAATTTGATTAGATAGCAAAAGCACGTTGATTTTTGTGACTAATTTACCAGATTATTTACTGAGACTCTCTTAAAATCACTCATTTTTGCCTCCTGTTTGCCTCAAAATTAGGATCTTTTTAACTTGCTTTCCTAGAGATAGTAATTTTTTGACTTTTAATTTTAATGAGGCACTTGCAAACCAGGGCATTGGGTGTTAGAGTAATACAAAAGTAGGTCTGGAAGGGATTCAAGAGCTCAAGTGTAAGCCATTGCACTGATACAGCATTAATTATACCTAGCTCCCTGCCAACAATGGTGTTTAAAAAACCTCCAAAAGAGTTGAATAGCGTTAGAAAGAGCTTTCCTAAAATCCAGCCTAGATTTTCTTTGCTATGAATTAGGCTGCTGCTTTCTTACTCTGCTCTTCAGATTTTCATGAATAATAATTTACCACTGTTTCCTTCATAGTAATCATGTACATCATGTCATGTGTGTCCCACCTCTTTTTTGTAACAAACAAAGCAAAACTACCTTTTTCTTTCCTAAACTAACCCATTCTTCCAGTATCTTCTCCTGCATCGTGTCAGTTTCTTTATTGTCTCCCTGGGGCACACTCCAGACTGTCTTTCTCTTTTTTTTTGAAGAGTGGTCCCTAAAGCTGGAAATAATTCTCCAGCTGAAGATTTACCTGTACCAAATGAACTGAGTAATCACCTCCTGCATCTTATTTATGGCATTCTTGTTCATACATCTGAAAATGAAACCTGCTTGCTTTGTGGTTTTTTTTTAATTTGCATTACACTAGCGATTGATGATGTAATTTTGTGACCTGTTAGACCTTTTCCTCACCCCAAGATCCTCTGTGCAATTTTGCTTCCTAGCCAGTATTGTTTCTTCTGTATTTGACATCTCTCTTAATAGGGTAGAACTTTCATTTTTGTTGTTTCTTTTTCCTATTTCTTCGATTTGTCAAGATCACTTCAAATTCCAACAAGAGTGTTCATGTGTGTTACCGTTAAAATGCTTTTAAAAGAATGGAGGGAGACATGTTCCTGTGCATTGACATGGAGAAATGCATGCATATTGATTGGTGATTGCCGGTAATTAATTTTCCAGATGCTCCAGTTCTGTTTCAGTGCAAATTAAATAGGTTAATTTGTACCACTGCTGAAGTTGTCAAAGTTATCTGAAATGGATGAGGAGCTCCCACAGACTCAGTTAACCACATCACAACTTTGGGCAGTAGCTCTTTAAACTGTTCCAACTAGATTTACAAGAAAACTTTTGTTTGTTGTAAAAATATATTAGTCAGTAAATATTTTAAAAAGAAAGATGCATATAGTTGATTTAACATAGTAATAAAATCAGTGTTCTTTTAAGTCTTCCCTTGAAGTCTCCTTTGCCACTTAGCCTTACATCTCTTCCAGTAGCTCAGCATCTACACACCATACGCACCCCAAGAACTCTTTTTGCCTTTAGTAGTGTATTGGGAGAGGAGAGAGTTGCTTTATGACCCATAAAAAGCTTTATAGTTTTCTATTATTTGGCCTTCTGAATGTCTGCTTTTATGTACTACACATCTCCAAGGGTGGAGAGCAAGGTGCAAAATGATACTGTTAATCTTTCACATTAAACACCTCCCTCCTACTACCGCAGCAGTGATGAATGTGTCAATCCTGTTCAGTTACTACTCACTGAAGTGGTACTTTGCACTTCCCCAAGGACTGGAATTGCTCTCCTGAGGAAGAGTGTGAAACACCTGGGTTTTCTTACTTATTTCTTAAAGCAAATTTGGCAGCTTTCTATCTCAGGGTACCAAGGAAAAGTGTACCAGCAAGGCAGGATCTTTTTAATCTGAATTTTCCCTGCCTTTCACAGTTTCACCAGCAGGTAATGGAAATGGTCAAAGATTTCCTGTATGAAACCTTTCAAATCAGGAAGCTGGGCTAGTTCAGGTCTTTATCGCTACTGTCTGAATTACTCTGAATGAATCTCTGTTTATTACTGAAGGCAGAAGTTTAGAAAAACAAGTTTTCTTCAGGGTTAAATAACCTCTGAAGAAGTTCTTAGACTGGGATATATTCATGATGATTTTTCAGATCCATATTATGCAGTTAAAAATTACATTATTGGAACCTGTCAATAAGGGATTTCACTATCTTGGGAAAAGTGTTCCTACTTAATGCAAATGAAGAGAAATGTTTTCATTCCAAATAATTCTCTGTGCCGCTCAGAGAATGGATGCTTTATAAAAATCCAAGATAGAGCTGCCAAGTCAGATAATTCACAGGGGTTTAGTGTGAAGATTACTGTGTTTACTTTGGTTTCAGGAAGATATAAAACACTGCTCTGGTCATTTCAATCCAGGAAAAGGAGCACAACTTTTATAGTTATTTTTGCATAAACTCTTAAATCTGCAGATTAAAAATACCAAGGTCTGAATTTTCAGAATTGCTGTATCTAAGAGATCTGCTTTCAAATAGATTCTTAGCATTTTCTGAAAATCAATTCCCTTTCCCAGTTAGATACCCAAACTTACTAGTAATTGCAGAAAATGGAGGCCTAAGGAAAAGTGAGTAGATTATTTTCTTTAAATGTAATGTTTCTGTTAAAGTCAGTAGGTGTCCAGGGAGCGTGGATGCCTGTTGCATATTCAGTAAATTATTTTAAAATTATTTGTTCATGTTTCTCGGCAGGTCTTTTTCTCGATTGTTTTTTATAGTTTGATCTTTATTAATCAAGGTACTTGCTGTAAGAGAAAACGAAGGTGCTCAAAGATCATTGCTAATAAATGCCTACTTCTAGTGAATGTTCTTGGGATTCACAGATCAGAACTAGATAGTTTTCTAACCAGGCGAAGCACAGCTCTCTTTAGTATTCATTATGCAGACAGTAAATAAATACTCCTTTTATGTTAAAGCTTATACATTTTAAAGCCAGAAGAGAACCCTGTAATAAAATAGTTGACCGCTGGCTACTGCAGCCATAAGACTTCACTGAACTGGAACCAGGATCTGTTGTTGAAACTGGATCGTTCACTTTAGAAAAGCATCCACACTGAGTTCACAAAATATCTGGTTACAGAGACTGTACTATTGTAAAGTTTTTATGCATCTAGGTATCATTAGCAGTACACATGCACTGCTTACAGTGTAGTTTCTTTAATTTTTACTTTCACATGTTGTCTCTTGTTCTGTCTATGTGTGGGTTGAAGAGTCTGGTTCATCAGACTCTGATTAAATCATCTTGTCACAACTGGGTAAGGTCTCCACCACCCATTCTCCACGTTCCTGTGTTGGAGTCAGCTGTGTTAGACTGCAATGTCCTAAGCGTCCTCAGTCTGATGAGCTTCAGCACATGCTCGCTTCTTACCATTTCCTGACATAGGTTTCAGTGATGAATTTCAGTCAGCTACCTCTTTGTGAAAGTATGATCACGTGCACAAGTACTCTGGTCTCCATAGCATGTGCCAATTGCTTATGTACATCCTCTACCAGAGTCTGAACTTTGTGGGAACTCTAGGATTACAGTTGAATTATACTAAGGAATGCAAAATACCACTTGCGCACATGCCCTTTCTCTGAATAATACAGAGGAAATGAATCTTCTCGTTCTTCTCCTGTGGAGGCAAAAATAATCCCTTCCTCCTGTGTGCATGTTTTTTTTTTTAAAAAAAAAATTTCTGGTCTCTCTCTTTTCCTTGTCTTGTTTAAACTTTATTTGTGGACTCCTTTTACCAGTTGCTGTTTTTGAATAGAGTAGCAACACATGGTTTCTTTCTTCTGCCTCTGGGGAAAATCTGAACTACAGCCTGTCCCACAGAATTTGGAGGACACGGTTTCCTCGAGGCTCAGCCCTCCAATGTTCTCAAAAGTCTTCTACTTGAATGGAATTGTTGAGGTTAAGGTCTCTCTATGGTCAGCCATCTTCTGAAATGGCCTTCTAAGGAAGTGGAGGGGCAACCCCATTCCATATGTGAAGCAGAATTTGTAGTCTGTGTCACACACATTTATACACATATGCACACATGGAGCTGCCTATGCCAGGAAGGATTCCTACATTGAATATATACTGTCCTCAATATTGTCACAGAACTGTCGGTCTGTCTTTGTCAAGTTACACAGATTGCTTTTATTCAATGATTCATTGCAAAATATATTTTCTAATTCTCATGCCATTTACTTAACTTTGTGATGATCCTTATGCCACTGGTTAAGTATCTCTGGTATACACATTGGAACGCTATCATCACTCATGAATGGACACGTCAATGCTAAATGTAGAGGCCATAGAACTTCCCTAGTTCTACTGATACACTCTGTTTACCGATCTAAGCACATAATTGTTCATCAGACACAGTATGGCATTAAAGCTAATGTTAAACTCATTATTCATCGTGTCCCTCCAGTCTTTTTCCAGACTGAGTGCTTCTCAGGATTGAGATTTCCCCACATGGTGTATACTCTTTGTTAGATGAATAATTTTGTATTTGGTTGCACTGGAAGAAATCTTTATTAATTTGTTTGTATGTGCTTTCGTTGTAAGCAGCCTGTTAATTATAAATATATGCTTATAAATACCTTAAGGGTGGGTGTCAAAAGGATGGGGCCAGACTCTTTTCACTGGTGTCCAGCGACAGGTTAAGGGGCAACGGGCATAAACTGAAACACAGGAAGTTCCATCTGAATATGAGTAAGAACTTCTGTACTTTGAGGGTGGAACAGGCTGCCCAGAGAGGTTGTGGAGTCTCCTTCTCTGGAGATATTCAAAACCCGCCTGGATGTGATCCCGTGCAACCTGCTATAGGTGACCCTGCTTTGGCATAGGGGTTGGACTAGGTGATCTCCAGAGGTCCCTTCCAACCCTGACCATTCTGTGATTCTGTGAATTGATCCAGTACATTCTGTAGCAGGGACCTGTATCTTTTCACTATTTATTATCCCTTGAACCATTGTCTCTTGCAGATTGTATTGGTAATCAGTATTTTATGTCATCATTTAAATGATAAAAGAGCATCCTTGTGCAATCCTACCAGATACGCAGCCATTGAACTAAGACTTCCCATTTAACAATTCTGTTTTGAGACCTCTGAGGTTTGTGTTAACTCTGTTTACTGTTACGAGGAGGGACTGGCTACTGAACTGCCTGATCAAAGCAATGTGGTCTTACCAGCTAGATGGCTCAGCCAGGCCACAAACAACTAGCACATGTGCTGTGGTCTTTTCTCAGTGTTTTCTAATTAGGGACACATGTCAAGCCTGACCTACACAAAAGAACAGATTTTGTACTGCTTCACTGTGTGCAACAAGCCATGTGTTCTCTACCTGTCAGAACAGGCAAAATTTGACTTAAATGATTGGAGAACGTTCATCATAATTTGTATCTATGCAAAGCTCTATTTCCTTTAAACTCTTGAGAGTGATGGAGAAAAAAGGGTGATTCAGAATTCATTGCTGCCTCTGATTCAGTAAGATGCCATAACTTGGTTCCTTCATTGAATTCTTGGAATTTTATCTCATTTACAAGGAATCAGGTTTATCCATCGTGACGCTGATGAGCGAACATGGCCTGTCTGTATTTATTAAAGTAAACTATAGAAGAAAGCAGACATTCATGCATGGAAATGTATCTGGTGTGGCCTTATTGACAGCTGAAATACTTGGAAAAATGAAATTTCTGCCATATAGGTCATGGTGCTTCCAGCCATTTTGGTTTTGTCAACGATTTGAGACCACTGAAAACAGCCAAGAATTAAATTGGAAGTCAGGAAGTTGCATAAAAATCTTGGAAAAAAATCAAGTTAATTTTGGTTTGGCCTAAATATTATGCTCAAAATCTGAATTTTCTGAATCTCACCTTTCAGTGTGCACAACTTAAATTAATATAGACTTAATATGGAATATAAGAAGGGGATAAAAAGAATCCTTAGTGTGGATCACTACATAAATAAGTCTTTCTGTTTCTATGTTAATATTTTCTCTGTATCACGTCCATACGGAAAGCAGGCTTGACTCTTTTTTGCCTCGCTTTCCTGGGATCTTTTTTGTTATTTAAAGCTCCTGTAATTGTAGTTAGAATACTTTAGTCATTTTTCCACTTTCAAGCTGCATTTTTAGCACTATTTTTGTATCCTAATAAATGATCAGAAGGGTAATAGACTGTCTGTGCAATGCAAAGGCACCTAAAGGAGTTCTGGATATGCCAGCACTGAGGCCACAATGACACAGCCACAGTGGTTCTGTGCGCAGGCAGATACAGCCTGGTTCTTGGCAGTGATGGTTGCCCAGGAGAAGCACGCTGCTGACGTGATTCTGTTGTTGGTGAGCCTTTGCTCAATTAGTATGTTTATGTGACATTGCAATATGCTAACTGCCATTAATTTTGCCAGTGTTCCAAATAGCATGCAGCAGGTTGATAATTTAAATGTGCTCCTGAAGTGGATGTCAGGTGAGCAAAGACTTCCAGTTCACTTTGTAAATGCTTTGTCTATAGCTTATAACTCAATTCAGTGCACAACTACTGTATTTCCAAATGCAAATGTCACATAGTTGTCTGTTATTTACTTTTTGCAAATATATATGACCTGACCTTAATATCGATTGTTAGAGCAGGCTCTAAAATAAAATTTTGGCCTTACTGAAACTGTACCTGTTTCACTCTTGCCTTCCACAGTCTTCCCATATTCTGATACTCCTGACTTCCGCAGGAGAATTCCTGTAGCTTTTGATATGGAATCTGTCTCTTGTTTGCAAGAAGATTTTTAAATTTTTTTATTTGGTACATATATTTCAAAAATGACAGTTCAGATATTTAAATTTCTGTACTCCTGGCATGTTGCAATACAATTTAGAATTTATCTAAGCTCTCTGGGTTTGTTTCTGACAGCATACCATAACTCAGTGGGTTGTTGCCATTAACTCATTCATACTTCCTTTTGTCACTAAAAGCTTTCCTTTGTTTCCAGGTTTGGCAAGAAATCCCGACCTGCAATGTATGATGCAACGCCCATTGCTTATGAAGATTACAGCCCAGATGACAAACCTTTGGTTACACTGATTAAGACGAAAGATTTGTAATCTAGTGTATCTTTTTTGGATTATTTTTCAAAAGGATGAGCTACTAACCTAATTTAAATATTTTTAAGAAGAAAGCATAAGTAATTTAAACCATTAGATGCTTCAGAATTTTCTGTAGAATATTTAAGAACCAATTTTCTGCAGCTTTTAGTTTGGAAAAATATTTTAAAACGGAATTTGTGAACTTCATGAATAACATTTTAATGTACCTTGAGCTCTATAAACTATAAGCTTATGATAGTGTGTGCTTTTTTCTTGGTAGACACTATTACTAAACCCAGATGAGTTTCTTGTGGTTGTTACAGAACAGAAAACAATAATTAATGAGGAATTCTTTATGAAATGTCAGTGCCAGCTTTCTCAGTAGAGGTAGGAAAAATGTGAAGCATAATATGATATATAATATATCCATTAATTAAAAAAGTCTAAAATGTTTGTGTTGTGAAAAAGAAACTAGTAAAAATTATTATTCCTAATCTGAATGAATTAGCTTTTGCCTTATTCCATGCATGGATAGATAACCTATTTCCCCATTATTTCCTGAAAGTTGCTGAAACATACTCTTGAGTTGATGTTTGACATTTTTGTAATAGTATTCAGGCTAGGCCTTGTATAATAATTAAAGTGCCTCTTGAGGCAAAGTAAGGGCATGATCCTTTAAACATTGAAATCAATGAGAGAACTTCCATTGACTTCAGTGGGCCTGGGATTGGATGCTACAATTGGACTGAATCTATATTTTTCTTTAAAGGTTAAAGTTTTTTATATTGTGAGTAAACTAAGCATATGGTTTGAATTGTTTGTTTCCTAAAGGTTGTTGATGTACAGTATTGTTTCATGAAGTATTGTGTATTTCTCATAGTGCTTCTTATTTAGGATCAGTATGGGGTTTTTGTGGCTGTATTTGCTTATGGGCTTCTTAAAATTCTTGCTTATTTCAGAAAATATTGAATAAATGTTATCAAGTGAAGATAGCAGCTGTTTCTTTGTTTTTCTTCATTTGAAAGTGCAGTGTTGTCTATAAATTTGACAGGACATGAGCATATAATGTGCTATAAATAGTGCCAAAAGAAGATACTTCAGCTGTTAATTTGAAAAGGAAAAAATGGGCTTTATTATCAAGGTAGTCTCTCAAAAGTGAGACAAATACAGCACCAGCGTAAAAATGTAGTCCTCCAGTCCAGGCAATATGCACCACAACCTGTTCCTGAGTGGATCTGACTGCAAATCTGGGCTCTAACTTATAGCAAGAGTAAGGTTTTGTCACAGAGGAACCTGTTTACGTGAGTAGGCTTGATCTGACTTTGTGCTTCAAAGAGGCCTGCTCCTGGGGAAACCAAGACTGCATGGTATAGAGGCAAACTGCTGTAGTTGCCTATAGATCCTGCTGCATGGTGCTGTGCTACGTCTGGTTGGTACTGTTGTATTACAGGCTGATGAGCACTGGAGGGCTAAGGTCCAGTTGACCTCTTAATGTTGGGAAATCTTGGAATGCATCCAAAATCTTCACATAAATAACATTTCAAGACAGAAAAAAGATGTCACCAGGGACTTTGATCATCTCTGTGTGAGGAGAGCTGTTGTCTCAGGCAGTCCTTCCCTTTCCTTGCGACTGCTGACATCTCCAGACCTCAGATCAGCCACTAAAGACAAACGTAATTAAGAATTGTGAAGATAAAAAAACTGCCACTGGTTTTACTGTCTTGTTAGGTGGGCAGAGTGCACCTGGTATGTTACTTTTAATTTTGAATTTCATTATTATTACGGTTCTGGTTACAGTCGTAGCAATTTAATGATTTTCCACACCTTACACAATTAGTGCTGACAAGAGGTAGACAAATTACTGCAAGTCAAGCTGTTAGAGCTGCTGAAATGTAATTTTTAATGTGAGATTACATTCTAGTTCACCACCAAAAAGAGAGTGAATGCAGCAGATATGGGCCAAATGTGAAATGTAAAGGAAACAAAATGAAAACTTATTTTATTAGAACCATTAATTGTTAAAGGGAAGCACTGCTCAAAGGATTCTGTTACTGTTTGGAATGGCTGGATGGTGACTGTGCAGGTTAGTAACACCGTGCTGTATTTGAATTATGGAAATAACAAATGCATCTTAGAAATCCAGAATACCTTTCCTGACATCCTTTATCTGCTACCATGGGCTTTCAACAATGTTGGCCCAAGACAATAATTACTAGTAAGAGACATAAAGAAGCTAGGTTCAAGCCTCCCTTTCGTTCTTCAGGCACAGTTGTCTATGACAAAGGTTGTGTATTTGCACCCGACGGCTGTCAGACTAGCTTTTTTCATTGGCACAGTTTGCTGCTGCTGCTTTATTCTAGGTATGGAAAATTTTGTTTGTGGTGACTTCTAGGAATGTTTTAAGAATGTCTTAGAAAGAAGGGTCAAGAACAAGCTATACTCTATGCTTTTTTTTGGATAACTTGTGTGGACCATGGGCAAATATGTTGTTGTTATAGTTGATTTGTTAATCAGATAGAAAGGAAATACTCGTTCTTCAGAGTTTTTGGCCTTTTCAGTCATAAAATATTGGTTTATCTTTGAAGAACTGCAAATCTATACAAAGTAGGGAAACAAGCAACTCTGTTGCTCTAGAGAACATACGTATTTATAGTCCATATTTTACAAGAGAGACGTTGCAATAAGCAGCAGCCCTTCTGCATACAAATCACACCTTGGCAGTGATTCTTGACCATCCTATATTTCTCTCAAGTGACTGACCTGAAAGATCAGTAATTTGCGAGGAGCTATTTTCCTGTCAGCTTGCAGCCTCTTGCTTCTGTAAATCATCCTGTGCTTCCTGTGAATTGTGCTTTGAAAATTACTTTTGCTTCTTCCAATTTATTTTATTGAACTCTGACAGCATGTTATGCATGCACTATGCCTGAATCCGTGCACCTCTGAGGTGTTTGTGAGGCACTGCGCTGCCTGCCCGATGGACCAGCCCCCAGACCTGGAGGGAACAAACCCAGCCTGAGCTTTCATCCCAGCTCTGAAGCTGCTAGAACAAGTTGGTTGCTGTCTTTATGTGCTAGATTGTGCCTTTCCGAGGATATACATGAATGCGGCCAAAGGACGGTGGACAAGATTTCCCCGCCACCGAGGAAGGCTGTGTCCTCATCGTGTGCCTGCCCGATGGACCAGCCCCCAGACCTGGAGGGAACAAACCCAGCCTGAGCTTTCATCCCAGCTCTGAAGCTGCTAGAACAAGTTGGTTGCTGTCTTTATGTGCTAGATTGTGCCTTTCCGAGGATATACATGAATGCGGCCAAAGGACGGTGGACAAGATTTCCCCGCCACCGAGGAAGGCTGTGTCCTCATCGTGGGGTTCATTGCGGTGTGCCGTGTCGCCGTGCACTGCTCCTTGGGCGAG